AGAATCAACAGAATCAGAGGAAGAAACTTAAATTATTATAAAGTGTCTTATTTCTTATTTGTCATTGTAAATATTTATGAATTATATTATGTTTGTATATATTATTTTTGTGACTTTTTCTTATATTTCCTTAAACTTTCACAAAAAATTTTAACTTGACAAAATTTAAAAAAAAAGCAACAAAAACCACAGCAACAAAAATCCAGCCCTTGCTAGTAACCCCTGCAAACTGTGTTTGTTTAGCCGGGGCCGGGTTTGCAAAAACCTCTGTTTTTAGCCGGGGCTGGGGCCAGGGACCTGGTCATTTACTAGGCGGGCAATTTTAAGCCTTTTTATGACCATGCAAACAATGTTTTGTTTTGATGATTTGACCACAGTTTTTAACAAATGCACTGAAAAAAATGGTTTTTAATTACGTCGAAAATAAATAAACTTGACATGTTTATCTTTACTTTTTATCCATTTATCTAATCATGAAATTGAAAAAATACAAAGTTATTTATAGTAATATAATATTACAATATTAGGTTTGGTGTCACTTCTATTAGCCAAATTCATTAAACGCGGTCGGCACACTTTTGTTTACGATGTAGGGAAAAAAATAAAAAATGGTAGCTTTTTAGTACTATAAAACATTAAACACTTAACACTTCGTCTTAATTTATATCACTTTCGTAAATTTTAAAATGGTTAAATGGTATTGCGCATCTGCTTTATGCTTTAACAACTTTAAATCAAAAGATTTAAATGGTCTTTTTATTAAACACTATCGTTTACCAAGATTAGAAAGTGTGCAAAAAGTCTATATGAAATTATTTAAAACAAGTGGTATGAACTGGGAAAAAGGACACATATGTGGAGCTCATTGGAGCAAGAAAGAAAGAGAAAATCCTAACGATTTACCAGACATTATTATACCAGATGACCAATATGAAAAAATATGCAAAAAAAACTCACTAGCTAAAATAAAACTTGATTCATACAAAAATCGAAGTGATATGTTAAAAAAAAGATACAAGTCAGCAAAGAGAAAGTTTGAACTAGCCACACAGATAAAAAACAGCGTTTCTGAAAAGTTGTTGCGTAGCTCTTCAAAAAGAGATCCTAGAACAACAATTATTTACAAAAAAAAAGTTTTATCTAAATTAGTACTGAATAAAATGCTTAACTCCGCTGAAGCTCAAATGAATGACATAAAAATTGAACTTAAAGAAGCAAAGGAAAAAATTAAACAACTAAAAAAAAGCACTTGATATAAAAAATATTGAACTGTCCAAGCTGGAATCTGCTAGCATTACCAAAAAAAATATAAACAGTCTGAAAAATAAAATTGAACAATCCTCTCAAAAACAATTTGAATATAAGTTTTTAAAAGAACAGCCCAAAATGTTTCAATACTTATGTGGTTTATCAATAGAACAATTTAAAATTATTTTAGAATGTGTTTCTCCTTATACTCATTTAATACCATATCCTGAAAGTAAAGTTAATGCACCGAGCCGTAGAACTACTGATAAAGCAACAGAATTATCTGTTCTAACCATATGTAGGCATGGGTTACATCAAGGGGTAATGGCCTTTATAATAAATAAGTCAACAATGCAAATAATTTTTATTGGATGGGTAATATTTTTAGCCACTATATTTAATGAGATAGGTTTGAAACCTGCATCTGGATTTTTGCTTAAAAAAATGCTCAAAAGTTTCATTAAAACAGGACATGGTCTGACAGACCTTGTAGTAGATGCAACAGAGTTTAAATTTCAAAGTACATCAAATTTCGAATTAAATTCTCTGATGTTTTTTAATTATAAAAACAGGCACAAACTTTGATAACTTTTTTATAAATTTTCTAAATGGTTTTAACATAACAAAATCAGGTACATGACTAATTATATTTTTTTCCAAAACTGAGTAGATCTTTGATTTCAAGATGATTCCATGTTTTTATTTTCTTCCTTTCATATATTTTATCTACTATTTCTTTAATAATTAATAATAAGGTGTTATTTCTTTCAAACTAAAAAACATTTTGATGTATTGGTTTCAGGATGGAAAGATTGTAAAACACAAGACTCTGCATCTGTACAATCAATTTGTAGCTGACACTGAACATAATATTGAGGTAAATTTACTAATGTTGTTATTGGCCCAACACAACCTGCTGCTCAAGTTTTCACTTCTAACAAAATGCCTGATGGACCTAATCCATCAGGACTACAACCATATTTATTATCAATTAAACTATCAAAGTATCCACATTTTTCAATTTTTGCCTTTGAAAGAAATTCAAAATTTTTAATTGCTGCCTTTTCAAATAATGTACCTCTTTTAATATTTTCTAAATGACCAAGGTCTGGTGTAGATGTCCCATTTTTAATAACATCCCAATATAACATAAAATTAGGTTTTCCTAAAATCCCCAGTAAATAAGGTAATCGACTAGCTGTAATTTTATGCTTTCTGTATTCATGCCACTCATTAGTGTTTTGCTTTAAACTTATGTAATTAACACCTGATGGTTACGGAGTCACACGGTTACTGATGTCAATATTTACAACACTATTCGCAATTTGTTTTCTAATGATAGTATAAAGTGTATTGTCTTTTAGCCCATCATAAACGCTAAGTAAATTAGTAATTTCAATATAATTTGGGAAGATACTAGTGAGATTTTTTGTTTTTCTTAAATCAATTTTTTTTTCCTGAAGTATTATCATTTGAATTATTAGTGAGTTTATTAATGTTTGATGTTTTCAATTTTAGTGTTATCGATGAATTATATTTTGATCAAATAATGGGGTATTGCAATATACGTGGTCTAATAAAGCAAATGCAGTTTTTTGAGTGTATTTATAGTGTAAATGTTGACCCATAGATGACTTGCATCCATCTTTTGATTTCATTAATACAGAATAAATATGTTCCTCTACAGGCATTTTTTTACCCATCAAAAAGTAAAACAGCTGGTCTCAACTCTTCACCATATGATTTTTTAATGATTGCTTTAACGTATGTAAAATTTTAATATACTAATGTTTTAACTGAAGCTATTTTTCGACTTTGAAGCATTCAAAATGCTTTTTCTTATTGTCCACGGCTACCATACTTTTTATAGTTGCAGTATGTGTAAAATATACCACCATTAACAATAGAGTATAACATCTCGTTTGATGACCATTTAGCTGTAATTATAGGTATTTCAAGCGGATCAAGACTGCATTAAAATCGATAATACATGTTTGCTTTTGCTTTCAATTTATTTGTTAGCTTTGGGTATCTTAAATACATTTTTATTTTGTTTCGTAGTTCCTCTAAAGTTCCTCCTGAAGATTGTCCTATTTCTTTTAACCATTTAACGCATCGCTCTTTATTAAAACTTTCTACCTTTTCAGACATGATAAATAAGAAAATAATAGAAGCAGCGACAGTAGTGTTTTGCTAAAATTTCTTATAAACAAAGTTACCATCTTTACTTTTTTTCCCGACATCGAATTAATTTCAAGACCAGGCCTCTTTAATGAATTTGGCTAATAGTTAAAAACTGGAATGACACCTTAATAAAATAAACAAATAAAGCAAAAAAAAAGTAATATAAACAGCAACCAAAATAAAATAAATAAAAATAAAAAGAAAAACAATAATATTAAAAAAAAGCAAGACAAACAACACAAAAAATAGAAAAAGTGAATAAACTTACACAAGAGATAACAAATGAATGAGATAACACAACATTTGACGATCAGAGCGATAGAAAATATTTTAAATATTATGATGAGACATGTCAATATAAACGATGCACAAAATTACACAACAGTATAAACAAAGCTAAGAAATACATGACAATATAAAAAATAAACAAAAACACACAACATTACAAACAATACACAAAAATAAATGACCGTATAAACAATCCAAACAACATAAATTAATAAAACTTAAAAAAAATTATTTTTATTTTCTATAAATAACTTTTTTGATAAGTTTATTATCTTTGAATTTAAAACGAATATTTTTATTTTTTTAACTTTGAGTTTAGTTCTTTTGTTTATATAATGTTTTTCTTCAATTTTTATTCTTTAATAATGTCATTTTTTTCACTTATTTTTTTTTATTTTTCAAATCTTATGTTCTAAACAATTTTTATTTGTTTTTTGTTTGCTCTTTTATTTCACCTTTTCACCGTTAAAAAAAATCTATTCTCCATATGCAATGACATTGCAAAGTATGTGATATGCGCCTGACTAACTATATGCCTGACTTTACAAACATTTTTGTATTAGCAAAATGCTTAAAGTAACTAATGAATTTAATTAAAGTATCAATGAAAGTTGTATAAATTTTTATTTATATTATTCAATTTTATAAGACTTTTTTATAATTAAAATATAAAAAAAAAAATTATAAAACTTTTTTTTTTTTTAAATGTACATTTATAGAATGTATACAAATTTTTAAAACATTACCAGTTGCAGTCATGTTTTTAAAATAGTATTTTAGGTGGTTATATTATGGCATGAAATTGCACGCCTTCTGGCCAAGCCTGAAAAGACTTTGTAAAACAGAAATGTTATAGATCAAAACTAAGGAGTTGAAATAAATGTTATAGATCAAAACTAAGGAGTTGCTGCCACAATTTTCAAGTAAATGTAAAACTGTAAAACTTAATATTTGTTTTAACATTACATAGTTTGAAGTTTTTATAAGTGAGATATTTGCATACACTTTAATTCACATTTTCTTATTAAAAAAAAAAATACTGCAACTCTTTCTTGCCATTACCTCGGTTGCAATGGCTGCCAAGAGTTTTGTGTCAAACACGCTCAAAAGGGCACTACTGCTACTAAGCATTATTATATAGATATTAGATACAAATATATACATATATTCTTAAAAATTTTTATATACTTCATAAAACATTTTTTTATTATATATTTCTACTATATCAAGATAGCTTGTTATGCAAAAACTAAATTACAATAAAATAAACAAAAATAAATGAACACAATTACTTTTGAAACAAATAAAAACATTTGCATTTATAATAAACAATAAAATCTTATGAAAATAATAGTTTTGTTTATAATCTTACAAAGACATCATGACACAATGCTTGATAAGTCCATGTGTGATGAAGAGGTGTGCACAAATCAATGTTACGATCGAGAATTATCAACACAGGTCTCTGAAAACTAAAACATAACAAATTGATTTGTTAAAAGATAGCTACATTAATTATAATAAAAATAATATACAGTTTAATAAGAATTTGTTTCTTATACTTGCTATATTTCAAATAATTTGCAATACTTATTTTTTTATATTTCACATATTTGTTGTCATATAAGTTCAAGTTAATAACAAACAAAAAAAAATTACAACAGAAAAAATACACAAGATATTATTAGGAACAACAAGCAAAAACATAAAAAATAATCTAGTTAAATAATCAGCTCTGGAGCTAAAGCAAGAGCTAAAAGCAGCTGGTGCTTTACAAGGACCTGAGCTGAAACTAAAATATTTCAGGGCAAATCTGGCTTTGGAGCCAACTCTGAGCTAACTCCATTCTTTGATATTTTGGAATATCAAAGTATGAGTATCTTTTGTTAAAGAGATTTCTATAAAAAAAAATTTTTCAAAATAAACTGTAATTAAAAAATTACAGTAACTAAAAATGTTAGTTTTACGATTTCTAAAAATAACATTTTACAATATTTTGATATTGATTTTATATATATAGATTGACTGTTAAATATCTGATGCTCATTTAAGAAATGAAAGAATTTTATATTTTTATAATTATACTTATGCTGATGTATTTTAACTGTATTTGTTTACATTTAAAAAAGCATTAGTATTTTTTTGAGAATTAATTTTGATTAGATTATTTTTTGCAATATGTCATTTGGTTCAAGTTGCTGCAAATGATAAGTTACTTTTAAATAATAATAAAAAAAAAAAAACAATAAGGACAATCAAACTTTTAAATGAAAATTATGATAAGGAAAGTTTTCTTGATGAAGCTGATGAAGAACATGAGGAGTATTAATGACAGGAGTATTATGAACAAGCTAGAAAGTGCAGAAGTTTAGCAAAAAGATCTAACCTTTGTTCTCACAGAATGGTGTAAACAACATTGAGCTGATGTGCTGTGCTTTTGCACCTAATGCAGATTTTAAACTACTTTGCACCTATTTGTGATATTTAAAAGAAACATATATTATCCAACTTTTGGCTAAAGTCATGTATGCGGTAAAAAAATTAAGAAATTCATTATTTATTTTTAGCTGGAATTTATGTTGATGCTCGATGTAGAATACTGCTAGAAGAGGACCAGATAATATAAGCAAAACAAAATAAAAGAGATGCCAGAAGTATATAAGTAATTCAAGAGATTATAAATACAACTAAATTATTTACAGTACTTTATTCAGTTTTAGGTAAAACTAATTATGATGGAGAGAACAAGATTCAACTAACAAGTCAACACAAGTTTGAAAAAGAGATTAATAAAAAAGCAAACAGGTGTGACCAAAATTAACTTTTTAGATAAAAATAGAAATTTCATGGATGAATGATATAGAAGAAATGGATTGTTTAAAAGAGAAATTAGATTTCGAGGAAATTAAAAAACACCCAAAAAGGTGGTGTGCAGGATAGTCAATTGAATAACTGTACTTTCCTCACAAGCAGAGAGGCTGTTTTCTACACTTAAGTTTAACTCAAGCGATCTGCATTCCTCACTTAAACCTGATGATTTTATTTATTTAGAACTTTTTACCTAAAGCCCCTTTGGAGCTGCTCCAGAGCTGGAGATGGTGCCAAAAAATATAACAAGGCTGTAGTTTGAAGCTAGAGTCAATTTTTTGACCCCATAATTAATGCACTGATTTTAAACAAACTATAAAAATTTAGAATAACTCCCAACAAGGTTGCAAGAAATGCTATATAAATTGGAAGCTACAAAGAAAATAAATTGATTAACAAAAGCCTTCAAAAACTGCAAATTATATTTTATTTAATGTTACATTCATTGTTATAAATAAATATAAAAATTATTAGGATCAATAGATAAATCAGAATAATATGGAGATAAATCAGAATAATATGGAGACAAAACTAATTAAAGTTGATACGAATTTCTGAACCAACAAAATTATTGCTCCACAATACTTTGTGCAAATTCAAATTATCTCCTTAAAAACTCATTTATGCAAAACCTCTAACAAACTTTCACTTGATAAAGTAAGTTGAAGTTGTTACTAAGAAACTTGAAACTGTTCTGGATGTCACTGAATTCACCTAATCTAATCTTGTTCTACCAAATAACATTAAAGTTTTAGACTTTCTTGACAAATAAATGAAAGAAAACTTTAAGTTTTTGTTACAGAAGGTAGCAACTTCAAATTTTGAAATTGACTCTAAAATCTTAGCCTATTATAAAAACTAAAAAATATTAATCAATTTCAAATGCAAAATTTAAGATACAAAGTTGTTGAGCAACTAAGGCATCATACCATTCTCTGATTTGATTGAACAGCATCAAATCAGCAAGGGTATTTTAGATCCTGTAAAACAATTTTACTGTGATACTAAGTATTTAAGGCAAATGCCTTTTTAAAATCTTTTTTTTTTTTACTATCTTGAGTATTTATGGTAAGAAACTTTATATTATTGGATAAAATAAACACATATACAATAGTATTGGATAAAATAAACACATGTCAAAAAATTGATTTTGTGTTAACTTTAGAAAGATAAAGTACCCACACTATAAAATCAGATTCTCTAAATTTTGCCATTTTTAGTGCATACTTGCAAATCTAAAAAATACACCAAACGTGAAGTTAATGTAGAGTGCTAAAAGTCTTGAAACACCATACTATGTTGAAGATTCTCATAGAAAATATTGTCTTTATTTTTATATAAGTATGTATTTTTCATTATAGATGTCTTTGAATAAAAATAGAAACTATTGTCTGCTGCAAATGAAAATAAACAGTTAGCGGACTTCAAACAGTGGACAATAACAGATAAAACTGAATTTTTAACAATAAACGTTCCCTCTCTAACTCATGGGTCTGATCTCATAAACTCTCCCAAGTATAAGACAGAACTATTTTTCAAAGTACCTTCTTCTAATTCGACTTTTGAACCTTATGGCCATACTCTTCCAGCCATTCCATTTAAAAAGGTTAACCCACTGTTAGATATCCAAATCTCTCTGGCTATTTTGTTACTACAGTCATTTCTCATTTAAACTCTTCTATAGCTTGTGGTCAAAACAATATTCCTGTCATATTATTACAAAAGTGTTCTCTTTATTTTCTCTTAACTATTTAATAAATGCTTGACTAAATCTTGTTTTTCTGGTTGCTGGAAAATAATATCTGTGGTTCCCATTTTCAAAAACTCTGAAGAACACTATAACCCCTCCGACTATTGTCTAAATAGCCTTCTTTCTATTATTATTTTTCTTTTTTTCTATAATTAGCAAGGTCTTTGAGTCTTTAATCAAAAACTATATTGATTGTCTCTCTGACAATAGAAATGATTGTCCCTCTGACAATAGAAATGATTGTCCCACTGACAATAGAAATGATTGTCTCTCTGACAATAGAAATGATTGTTCCTCTGACAATAGAAATGATTGTCTCTCTGATATTTAATATAGCTTTTGATCTTCTACTTTTGCAACTGACTTGCTAACTGCTCGAACTGAAAGATTCTTTGTTGCATTAGATGGGAGCAGCAAGGCAATGGCTATTGCTCTTGACATAAAGCTTTCTATAAAGTTTGACATGCTGGTCTTTTTCATGAGCTTACTTTATAAGTGTATTTGTTAAAACTTTTGAGATGATCAAATAATTTCTTTTATTATTTGATCATCTGTATTATTTTCTTAGAAGGCCAACACTCTTCTTCATTTTCAGTAACTTTATTCTCAGTCAATCTTGTAAATTTCCAGTAAATCTATCCTTAGCCAATCTCAAATCTTATATCTCTTCTATAACAGCATGGGGCTTGCAGTAGTGATGTTTATCTCTAACAAAACTCAATTATTTACTGCAAACAACCATCACAATCACAGGGTAAACATCACAATATTGTTGATATTCCTATATTGATAAAGGGACTAAATTGATAAAGGGACCCTATCACTAAGTCATTTCCTTTATGTCTTCTTAAATTAACATTCAAAACTGATTTTTTCTGGAAACTATATATACATCCCATAGCAAAGTTAGCATCTGTTAAGGTTGCTTCTCTTTTAATTGCTTGACATTTTCTTACTCCTGATTCTATTCTTTACCTCTACAAACCTCTTATTCGTCTCTGTATGGAATCCTGTTATCATATTTGGGCTGGTATTTCTATAATGGTTTTTCTCTAATAAACAATGTTCAAAAATGCATTGTTAATGTTTTTTTTTTTTTTTTTTTTTTTTTTAACAACTTCGCTTCCAACAAGGCTGTGATGTTTAACTCTAACAAAACTCAATTATTTACTGCAAATAACCATGCAAGCAACCATTAATTAGTGTCGGAAGTTAATGAAAAAGAAATGATGAAGATTGTAGAGCAAGATAACGATTGACAGACGACTTAAAAGATTGCAAATTATATGAATCAGGAAAGCAAGATGAAGGAAGCGAATTACAAAGAACTGATGTTTGAGGAAAAAAACTAGACGAATAAGAGTTTTTGGAGCACTTAGGAACAGTAACAGAAAAAGGATGAGACTTAATTGAATGACGAGTAACACGAGAATGAATTTTAGTAGATGGCACAAGAGATGCTAGCTCTTTAGAGCAGTGCCCATTATAATATTTGTAGAAAAGAGAAAGAGAAGCAACATTACGACGGTGACAGAGGTTGAAGATTGGCTGCAAGAGCAGGTCCAACTATGTTTACAATGCGTTTTTGCACCTTGTCTAATATATTTGGACCTGCTTTATCTACTATGCTTCAGCCACTTTCCTATTGTTGTAAAGTTGCATCTCTTTCTCTTTTCTATAAATACTATCATGGTTGCTGCTTAAACAAGCTATAATCTCTTGTTCTATTAACCAAAACTCATTCTCGCTTGACTTTAAAAACTTCAATTCTCTTTCCAACTTTATATTTTTCTGATTCATACAACCTACATTTTTTCAAGTCTTCTATAAACTTTGCTTTTTAACTTTTTGTTTTCTTGTACCTCCTAACCTATTAGTGGAAGTTTGTGGCTTTGTCAGGAGTGAATTAGATTTAAAAAAGAGCATAGTTATGCAAGGTTGTATATTTTTTAATTTTAAAAGACCTAAACTATTATTTATATAAAGATTGTTTTTCAGCTCTTATTTCACAAGAGTGATAGATGTAACATAATAGATTTAAATAATTTGCCTAACCCTTTTTAAATCAAAAATGACCTTCAAAATATTTTTTTGGGTTACTTCTCTTTACCTTTTAATTCAGCACCCTTAAAAATATATAGGTACTAATTTTATGCAATATTGTTCAATTAGAACTTAGATTAATCATGAAAAAATCCATACTGGTAGACTATTAGGTAGAAATTTTAATAAAATACGTTTTAGACTGAATTTAAAAGTCTTCATGACTTATGAACAGTTAAAAATTAAATTTTTTTATTTCTACATGCTTCATGTAATAATGGAAAACTTGATAGGCATCACTGGTAAAAATTTGAAGAAGATCAAAAGGGGTGGCTTGAATAAATGTTCTCTTTTTACATGGAGCTATTTTAGGCAGCAAGTTATCTCTTTTAGTTAGTATTTTAGTATTTTTAGTAAGTTAGTATTTTAGGCAGCAAGTTAAAACAAATCTTTTTTGTTTTTACAGACTTTTACTCTTTGTAAAATTTTTCAAATTGAAAACAAAAAATAACAAACTTCTTTCTGTCAACTTAAATGGTATTTGATTTTGATTTTATTAAATTGACTTTAAAATCTTACCTAAAATTACCTGATTGAATATCATTTGTAAACAATGTATTTCTTGAGTCTCTGATTTTTTTATCTAAAGCCTAAAAGAAACAAAAAAATTGGAAATATAAAACTGAAAAAAATATTGAAAATATCTTTTTTAGTTTTACTTAAAAAGTATTCAGATTTGTTATTGAAACAACATTGAAAGCTTGAACAACTGATTTTATAAAAAACTTGATTTAAACAAACAGATAGATTATAAAGAATGTACATACATCATACATCATCCTAGTCTTATTTAAAAAACCCGGAAAATTGGATTAAATATCTGGAAAAAATCTGGAATACATTTTTCCTTATTTCCTTTAAATTTTCTTTTTAGATGAGTGAAATACTGAGTTGTTATATTTTTTTCAAACCTTTCATCATTTTTTTTTTCAAACCTTTCATCATTTTTTTTTTCAAACCTTCCATCATTTTTTTTTTCAAACCTTTCATCATTTTTTTTTTCAAACCTTTCATCATTTTTTTTTTCAAACCTTTCATCATTTTTTTTTTCAAACCTTTCATCATTTTTTTTTTCAAACCTTTCATCATTTTTTTTTTCAAACCTTTCATCATTTTTTTGGAACCTTTCATCTTTTTTTTTTCAAACCTTCCATCATTTTTCTGTAAGTAATGAGTGAAAAAGCTTAAAAAATAAATATATCACAAAAATATACACCTAAACTTGCATGTATGGATAATGTTTTTGATATGCGGAAAAACTAAAAGTTTAAAAATATATTCAGATTTCCAGAAATATACAGAAAAAGATAATCCCTGATACATTAACTCAAATGGTTGGATAGGGAAAAATGAATAAAATTGTTTTTGTTTTTACAATTTATATTTGTATGATAACTACTGGACAAGTAGTGAGACAGCGTCAAAAAAGTTTTTAAAAAATATTGAAGAAGACAGGGAATATTCAAACATGAACTAGAAAAGCCAGAACAACTGGTATTTTGAATTTTCAGGCAGCACACAAAAAATATTTCATAAATATAGATTCATGTTAATTTAAAAACAAATAATGTACAAAATAATTACACTGTTTAGTTAAAGAAGTTTTTAGTTAAAGAAACTAATTTATTTTAAAATATATGCTTTTAACTGCAAAATCACTAACTTACTTCAGAAACAATTTCTGCAGCATTTCCTTTGGCACATCTTATGATAGGAACAATACCTAAAAAAAAATAGTTTTAACTTCATTTACTAAGTAATTCAAAAAAAATCTAAGAACAAGGAGTGAATAAATTCACAGAGGTTAATCATTTTTTTTGAAATTGTTGTCATAGCATCCCAAACTTATAACACTAAAATAAGACCGCTGCATGGAAAAATAAGTTACAAGAACATATATGTTGTAACATGAATTACAATTTTATAAATTATAATGTATACTTATATTTTGTAATAGTAAATATATATTTTTAATAGCATAATATTTTTACAAATTTAAAAATTAAAAAAAAGACATTATTTTCTACTTATAATAATTTATTTTTTTTTTACATAAAAAATGCCTTAAAAAATACCTACCTAAAAAATACTACCTTGAACTGCAATCAAATCTATATAAAAAGGATTAGAAAAAAAAACAAGTTAAATAAAAAATACGTAAGCACCTGTAGTCACCAGAAAAGAAAACAAACTATCAACAAGGGTCTCGCAAATCAATTCTATTTCAGAATCTTTAGCTTCAGGATTGTTCATTGCTATTCAAAGAAAAAACTGTTTCTTTAACTGTAAACTTTAAAACTGTTTAAAAATCATTAAAAGAAATTTGACTAACCATAATAAGAAATGCTTTGTCTATCATGATATTTTACAGTGAAGAAATCCTCTTCTAGAGAAATGAAATTCATGTATTGATCAACAACCTTTGAAAAAATAACACATATAATAAACACATATAAAATATTTATAAGATATCTTAATATTCTAACACCAAGTTATGTGTATGCATAATTTTTCTTTTTTTCATAATTTTCAATTTTTTAACAAAATTCCAAGTACTTAAACAATTCTAAGAAAATGGTTTTGAAAAAAAAATCACTGGTTTGATAATCTTCTAAAAAAACTTTTAATGGATTCTGAAAAAGCTTTGTGCCCTTTTATTATTGTATTTTTTAAATTTATTAAACAGACCTGAAAAACTATACAATATTGCTATAGCGAAAAATGCGAAGTTTATTGTTTAAAAAATAATACCCTGCTTTTTTTAATTCATCTACTTTTTGTATACATTTATGTGTGTGTGTGTGTGTGTGTGTATATATATATATATATATATATATATATATATATATATATATATATATATATATATATATATATATATATATATATATATATATATATATATATATATATATATATATATATATATATATATATATATGTATATATATATATATATATATATATATATATATATATATATATATATATAAAAATCATTATTAATAGGTGTTAATCATTTTCATTAGGTGTTTACTTAATGTTAGTAATTTTATAATTTGTAAACAACCATGAAGTCAGTGGTATTTGCTAAAACAATAAGTATTGGAAGGCATTAAGTTAGGACGAATAAAGTAATAATAAATCAGGTAACAATAATGGTGATAGTAAATAAGTAGAGAAGATAAGCAAAGATAAATGTTATATCCATTTTTAAATTGATATATAAAATAAAGTTTTTATATAAAGTAAAGTTGATAAAAATGATATAAACATACATTTTGTTTGAAATGTTTTGTCACAAAAATGGTTAAACAAAATCATAGTATGCATATATAAATATATTGCATTTTATAAGCATTATATATTATACATTATAAAAATTGCCATAAAAGATTTACAATTGTAGATGTTGATGCTGCTATTGGTTGAAGTACCGTCAGCCAAACGATGTGATCGCAACCAACTTTTGACATAAAAAAAATTGATTGGTGGAGAATTTAGTTAAATTAACAATAAACTTGAAACATGTTCTACTAGAATTTGTGACCTTAAGTTATTTACTATTAAATTCATGCTGCTATAGATACATTCACATTCAGCAGAGCTGCAAGCAATAATTCTATGGTAAGAAATAATTTAATATAATTTTTTTGGTATAAATCGACCATGTGGTCAATTTATACCAAAAAACCTGATTAAACCTCAACAACCACACCTACCAACCTTACTCCAAACCCGGAAACTTTAAATTACATTCATGCTGAATCAAACCACCCATCCAGTATTTTAAAGCAACTCCCACATTCTATTGAATTAAGATTATCAGCAAATTCGTCAAGCGAGGGAATCTTTCAAAAATCCACTCCTATAAATAATGAAGCATTAAAAAAGTCCGGTTTTAATTACAATCTTTCTTACCAACCTAACCTAATATTATCTCACACCAAGAACCGTAAACGTAACATCAATTGGTTCAACCCCCCTTTTAGCAAAAGCGTTAGCACGAATATAGGAAAAATATTTTTAACATTAACTGATAAGCACTTACCTATAAATCACAAGCTCCACAAAATTTTTAACAGAAACACATTAAAAGTAAGTTATAGCTGTATGCCGAATATGAAATCCGTTTTAAACGCCCACAATCGCCATGTTATAAACAACAAGAAAGAATCAGCTGAAAATAATTGCAATTGCATAGATAAAAACACCTGCCCTTTATCAAACCAATGCTTAACAAAAAATATAGTATATCAAGCTAATGTATGTTCCAACAATCTTGTTCAAACTCCCATCAATAAATTTTACATTGGCATAAGCGAAACATCTTTTAAAATAAGATATGCTAATCACATGAATTCTTTTAAAATTCCCAAATACAAAAATGACACTGAATTATCAAAGAAGGTTTGAAGAATAAAAGATGAAAACTTGAACCAGGTTGTTAGGTGAAAAATAATTAAACAGTGTGATGCCTATAACCCTGTAACAAAACGATGTAACTTATGCATAAACGAAAAGTACAAAATTTTATTTTTTAAACACCCTAATTTGTTAAATAAAAAGAGTGAAATATTATCTAAGTGCCGGCAAAAAAACAAATTTCTTCTTGCCCAATTTGACACTGGCGATTAGCAGTTTTACAACTATGCTTCTTTTTTATTTATTTTGACGTCGGAACTCATTCTATTGCTGTTTTTGTATTTTGTATTTTTTAACATTTTTTAATTGATTTGTATAATATATATGGCTGAAGATTGCCGATAGGCATGAAACTTTTAGTTCCATTATAAAGTTGTTTTTTTCTATTTAACTATACTTTATATATATATATATATATATATATATATATATATATATATATATATATATATATATATATATATATATATATATATATATATATATATATATATATATATATATATATATATATATATATTAGTATAGTTAAATAGAAAAATACAACTTTATAATAGTTTAACAATTAACTTAATAATTATTTTAATACGTAACTTCAAAATTTTATTTTATATTTACCTAGATTACTATCTTTTATTAATAGGTAACCTCAAAATTTTATTTTATATTTACCTAGATTACTATCTTTTATCAATAGGTAACTTCAAAATTTTATTTTATATTTACCTAGATTACTATCTTTTATTAAAAGGTAACTTCAAAATTTTATTTTATATTTACCTAGATTACTATCTTTTATTAATAGGTAAGAATTAAAAAAATTATAATTATGTAAGCATCATTAAAAAAAAATCCTAACAATTGACAATTGGTTTTCGAAAAAACTCTACTTAAAATTGTCTAAACTTCAACCATATTGTCTTCAACCATATTTTAAGGGGTAAACAGATTCTATCTGTTGACCAGCCTCGCACCCCTTCCTCATCTATTAGGCTGGCGCAGATGTATTTTTAATACATTGTTTCCATTTTAGGATGTTGAACGCTGGATCTTCTTGACTCAATGCGTGGGTATTGCTTGTGTCTCTATTTTTATGACTGGGCAACTCATTCTATTATCTCCTAATGAGGGTACAGCTCTAAAACTCAGTTTTATGGTTCTGAGGCCAGCTGGTAGTCAGGTTTCCCGAACTCTGTGGTAGCTCTCAGAGAGGCTGATTTCATCAACAGCCGAAAAATATCAGAGTACTAACAGTGCCATGTTGCGCATGGATGGTGTCCCTGTTTGTACTTTTGGTGTGCATTGCAGAGGCCACATTTGGAGCCCTTTGTTACGGCTTAGGGTTTATTAATAGTAATGAGGCTAATGCTTAGTTGTTAAATAGTGTACTGAGTACTATCTATACTTGAGTCAAGTTCTTTATAAATTTAAAATGACTAAAGTACTAAAAAAAACTAAAAAACACAAAAAACCATCATCATCACCAAGTTCTCTAAACCTATCATTTACTAATATTCGTGGTCTTCGAAGTAACTTTTCTTCTGTTGAGTCTTATCTCTTGCAAAGTTCACCAGACCTACTTGCTCTTTGTGAGACTAATTTGAGTTTGGCTGTCCCATCTTGTGATCTTAGTGTTGATGGTTATCTTCCTTTAATTCGTAAAGACTCCAATAATCACATGCTTGGCCTGGGCATCTACATTCGTAAGAACTCACCCATTTGTCGTGAAACTAGGTTTGAATCTACAGACTATTCATTTATGTGCTTTCGTTTAGCACAACTTCACTCTATCGCCTTTCTCTTTGTTCTATATCGCTCTCCTTCATCCCAAGATTGCACTATTCTTGATGTTATTTCTGATCAAATTGACCAAGCCCTCTCTCTTTATCCATCGGCCAATATCGTCGTTGTTGGTGACTTTAATGCCCATCACACCGATTGGCTTGGCTCTAGTGTCAGTGACTCTGCTGGCGTTAAGGCCCTCAACTTTTGCCTCTCTCAATCTCTAACTCAAATAGTCAACTTTCCAACTCGTTTTCCAGACAACCCTAATCATTTACCTTCTCCACTCGACTTATGTCTTGTTTTGGATCCTAGTCAGTGCTCAATTTCTCCACATTCACCCTTAGGTACTTCTGATCACGGTTTGATCTCTCTAAAACTATTATCAAATTCTTCTACTTCATCAGAATCCCCCTATCATCGTACCACATACAACTACCTTAAAGCTGACTGGGACTCTTTCCGTGATTTTCTTCGTGATGGCCCTTGGGTAGAAATCTTTCGTCTTCCTGCTGACAAATGTGCTTCTTACATAACTTCGTGGATTCAGGCTGGCATGGAATCTTTTATTCCCTCTCAACGATTCCAGATCAAGCCTCACTCTTCTCCTTGGTTTTCCTCACATTGCGCTGCAGCAATTTCTAATCGAAACTGTTACTTCCATAGCCAAAGCTCGCTATTGCCAGGTCATTAAATCTCGTATCTCATCACAAAAATTAGGCTCTCGAGACTTCTGGAGAATCTTTAACAGTATCAATAATAAGGGCAAATCTGTTATTCCTTCTCTCTTGTATGGTTCAGACATTGTCACCTCACCTAAAGACAAAGCTGAATTGTTTGCTAAGAACTTTTCATCAATATCATCTCTTGATTCCACTAGTTGCGTTTTACCTGACATAGCCATCAAACAGGTTGATCCCTTGCTTGACATTTGCATCACTTCAGCTTCTGTATCTAAAGTAATTTCCTGCTTAGACTCTTCAACGGCTTGTGGTCCTGACAACATTCCTGTTGTAGTCTTGCAGAGGTGTTCTCCGGAGCTTTCATCCATACTTTCTAAACTATTTAACAAGTGCTTATCAGAGTCTTGTTTTCCATCATGCTGGAAAGCAGCATCTGTTATCCCTATTTTCAAAAATTCCGGAGAGCGATCTGATTCATCTAACTACCGTCCCATTAGTCTTCTTCCTGTCATAAGCAAGGTTTTTGAATCTTTAATCAACAAACACTTAATCTCTCATCTTGAATCAAATAACTTACTTTCTGATCATCAATATGGATTTCGGTCTTCTCGTTCTACAGCTGATGTGCTAACAGTAATAACCGATAGGTTTTACCGTGCATTAGATAGAGGTGGAGAGGTTAAGGCTATCGCACTTGACATTTCTAAAGCTTTTGATAAAGTTTGGCATGCTGGTCTTCTCCATAAGCTTTCTTCTTATGGTGTAGCTGGTAACGTCTTTAAGATTATTGAGTCCTTTCTTTCCAATCGTAGTATAAAAGTTGTCCTCGATGGACAACACTCTTCTTCACATCCTGTAACTTCAGGGGTTCCTCAAGGTTCAATCTTTGGCCCTATACTCTTTTTAATTTACATTAACGATCTTCCAGATATTCTCACATCTAAGGTGGCATTATTCACTGACGACACTACCATTTACTCTTGTCATGATAAGAAGCCTACACTCTCTGATTGCTTGGAGGGGGTATCTGAGCTTGAAAAGGATCTTACTTCTGCTACAGCATGGGGCTCACAGTGGCTGGTGAACTTTAATTCAGATAAAACTCAATTTTATTCGGCTAACCGTTATCGTAATAATTTAGGTCTTCCTATATTTATGAATGGTAATGTACTAGATGAGTCATCTACCATTCATCTTCTAGGATTAACTCTTACTTCTGACCTTTCTTTTAAACTGTATATCAAATCCATTGCAAAATTAGCATCTGCTAAGGTTGCATCTCTTTATCGAGCTCGACACTTTCTTACTCCAGATTCTATTCTCTATCTCTATAAATCTCAAATCCGTCCCTGTATGGAATATTGTTGCCACATCTGGGGCGGATCTTCTAATGATGCTCTTTCTCTTTTAGACAAGGTGCAAAAACGAATTGTAAACATAGTTGGACCTGCTCTAGCAGCCAATCTCCAACCTTTGTCACATCGTCGTAATGTTGCTTCTCTTTCTCTTTTCTACAAATACTATAATGGGCACTGCTCTAAAGAGCTAGCGTCCCTTGTGCCATCTACTAAAATTCATTCTCGTGTTACTCGCCATTCAATTAAGTCTCATCCTTTTTCTGTGACTGTTCCTAAGTGCTTCAAAAACTCTTATTATTCTAGTTTTTTTCCTCGAACATCAGTTCTTTGGAATTCGCTTCCTTCATCTTGCTTTCCTGATTCATATAATTTGCAATCTTTTAAGTCATCAGTCAATCGTTATCTTGCTCTACAGATTTAGTCTTTTCTCTTCCAGTAACTTCCAACTCTTATAGTGGTTGCTTGCAGCCTTGTTGGAAGTGAAGATGTTAAAAAAAAAAAAAAAAAAAAAAACTTTAAAATTTTATTTTATATTTACCTAGATTACTATCTTTTATTAATAGGTAACTTCAAAACTTCATTTTATATTTACCTAGATTACTATCTTTTATTAATAGGTAACTTCAAAATTTTATTTTATATTTACCTAGATATATATTAGATATATATTATTTTATATTTACCTAGAGATATATTTTAACTTCAAAATTTGCCTTTTAATTAGTTTACTTAGTTAAAATATTCATTGAGATATTTACAAAAAACCTTTTAATAGCAAAGGAAAGTTTCAGCTTGTTGATTTTTTCATTCAAAAGAAAAATGGTCTAAAATATAATTTAACTTTAACTAAAAAAAGTATTATAGTTAAAGTGGAACTATATTTTAATGTTCGGATTTTTCCTTCTTTAATTAGGTATAGGAAAACTTTGAAAAAAAAAATATTTTAATGATAGCTTGCTAACTTGCTATTCAATAATTTTTTTTTTCAAGTATGAAAAGTTTTAAGAATACTCTGTTAGTTTAACAGAGTATGGTTGCAGGATGATTTCCAAGTGTGAAAAGTTTTAAGAATACTCTGTTAGTATAACAGGTTGCAGGATGTTGAAATGCTGTAATATAAAAACCAAAACAATATTTTTGGAAAAAGTAAAATATAAATTTGTTGGTGAAAATAAAGAACTCCATTTTTTTTTTTTTTTTTTAATACAAAGTAATTATTTAAGAAAAGACTGAGTTTAATTAAATTTTTCATTTTGTCAAATGTGACATCTGAGAACTGAAAAGCTTCGTAAAGTGTTTCAGTTGTTGCGAAAAAGTTTTATTATAATTGCAAATAAAAATACGAGACAACCCAAGCTTGTACAATAATTAAATTATTTAAAGATTGTGAATGTACAAAAAAGCTGAATTTTTTGTTGTTGTTATCTTGATAAAAAATTTGTTTTGGTAAGTAACTTTTTTTTATGATTTTTTTAAGATATGAACACAACATGTCTCAACACTTTAAGATATACCTACAACATGTCTCAACACTTTAAGATATACCCACAACATGTCTCGACACTTAAAGATATACCCAAAACATGTCTCGACACTTTAAGATATAGCCACAATATGTCTCGATCACTTTAAGATATACCCACAACAAGTCTCGACACTTTAGGATCCAGATAACTAAAAAGTTTAAATTTATAAAATAGTATTTTATTTGGTAAAAATGTTCAAATATTAACTTTTAATATTTTCAATTTTGATTTGAACACAAATGGGTTGAAAACTAGTGTCAGAAAGCATCAAATGGCAGATTGTTTGACTTTAAGTATAAAAAAAAAAAACATTGTAAAACATTGCAAATAAGTAAATTTGTGGGTGTTTTTGAACTTTTCATACAAAAAAATTGTGAAAGCCTAGGAGTTCCTAAGTGACACTGTTAACATGCTATAGAAGACCATCAAAGATTAGTGATGAATGACAACAGCAAAGATGCGGAGTCCCAAAATGAATCCGGCTTTATAACTTTATTTTTTTATGGTCTCTCATGTCCAGAAGCTCTAAACAAGTTGGTTGATTAATGATCTGCTATAAGAAAAAAATTATGATACTTAATGACTTGGAATTTATTCTTTTTAAGCCTGGAGTCCCGGAGTCCTTGCTACCACTATACCTAAGGACTCCGGGTTCAAAAATTGATTGTTCTTCTGACCTATAAGTCTTGATTTTTCCCCCATTAGTAGCCGATAATCTTTTTTATATTTTTAAAGCTACTGGATATCAAAAACTAGGAAGAAGTAATCTTTTTGTGACTTTCAAATCGGGAGTCCTTTTTGGGACTTCGCATCACTGGACAAAAGTAATATATTTAGAATAAGCAAAACAAATTCTAGGCTCAACAACTAAGGTTAGCTCTAATAATTAATTAGATCTAACATTTCAATAAGAAAACCTATCCTGTCAATAATGGATTGATAAAAAGAGTAAAAGATGCAAAAAAAATACTTGCAATAGGCAGTAGGTATATGTGGATGTTTTTCCCCTAAAGACTTTGCTATGAGCTGTATATCATCCAGGTCAATTAATATACCTTCAAAAACACATTATAATCATGTATGAATTTATTGATAAGACAATTGTATGGCAGAAACAAATAATACATCTTTCAGCAAGACAGGGCTCCAGCACACACATAGTATAACACACTGGTTCAACACAAAGATCAATTTGTAGCTTGTTAAAATTGACTTTGTTAATATAATACAAATATAATAAAGTTTTAAAAACTAATAAAATGAATAACACCTTTGCAACCAATTCAACACAATTTGCCTGCAAAGTTGCTGTTGCAATATCTTCGAGACGATGTCTTGAAATTGGTGAAATGAAGTTTAAGTAATATTTTTCATAGATTCCATTTTGCAAATCCTAAACTCAACAAAAAATTAGAAAAAAGAAAAATTATTATTATTAATTAATAGACTGCACAGTGAGGCAAACTGAATCTTTTCTGTCCAAAAAATATTGTACAATGCAGGAAAATGATTTTCTTCCCTATTTTTTAAATATTTGTATTTAATTTTTTTGTTTTTTTACCTCTAGGCATTCCATATTCTAATTCATTTTTTTTTTTTTAATGTTATCTTTTTTATTTTATTTAATAATCATTGTTCTCAATACTGAAAAAAGAAAACTTTGTGAAGTGTTTAGGCCCAATCTTTTTAAGTGAGTGTTACTATTCGTAATATTAATGTTGGTCTTGACTTTGAAACTAACTAACAGTAATTTTTTAAAAAAAAAATTTTTTTTTTTAACGCTTAAATCAGAGAAATATTGTACTTATGAACAATAATAATCTTTGTCGCAGTTTATTGAGTTTTTTTATCAAATAAAATTTTCTTTGATAAAAAAACTAAATCAACTGCGACAGATCATCTTTTGAACCTAATAAATCTCTAAAGATGCAAATTAAGTTGCTGATGATGTGGAGATTGAGCTTTTATCAATCCATTTTGTTAATCTTTGGCAAATTTTATCTCTCACTGAAATAGTAAAAAAAAATTTCACCAGTGAAGTTTTTCATTTTATTATAAATGATAATTTGACAATAGATATCCAGGCCTTAGCAGAAATGCCACCACACCCTTGCAATTTAGTCTACTCAGGCAAAACAAAAGATTGTGCAAATTAATTTTTTAATTTTGACAAATATTTTATATATATATATATATATATATATATATATATATATATATATATATATATATATATATATATATATATATATATATATATATATATATATATATATATATATATATATACAAAGAACTATACAACTTAAATAGTTTTAAAAAAGCTATTTAAATTTTTAGTTTTATATTTTTAATTGAAATCTTTTTAAAAATAAATATTTTAAATTCATCCAACTTAAACGAAAGAACTTTTTGTACGCTACTTTTTTATAGTGGCATTTTAGACTTATTTACAATATTAAAATATTTAATGATTAAAAAGGTAAACTACAGCATATGAACTAATGAAAATGATAATAAAATATTAATGCTCAAAGATGGTGTGCGGTATGTTACAAACACAATATTCAAAAAGGTTTAGCATATGAATGTGTAGAATGTGATGTAGGACTTTTTGCAGCTCCTAGCTATTTACAATTATTATACAAAAAGTGAATATTAGTGAATACATTTTCAAAATCTTATGTTTATGTAGTATGATTTATATATTCTCAAACTTGAATAATAACATTTTGTATTGTTTAATAATGTTTAATAAAATTACTATTAATAAAAAAACACAATGATTTTAAAAATACAGGACATTTAGAGACCACTTTGAAAAAAAAAGCTGGACTAATCGCGACCATTTTTAAAAAAAACACAGGACTGTTAAAGGGTTAAGGTCTTATAGAGATTTTATTTCAAGTTTTTAAAGATTTTTTGAAAGAGTTTTTTAGGGTCTTTTTAAGTTTTTTAGGATTTTTTAGAGCTTTTTAAGAGTTTTTTAGGGTTTTTAAAAAACATTTTCAAACTATTATGTTTGGAAAGTAATTAATTTAGTCACAATTTTTAAACCTGTCAAAAAAAAAATTCTTTTTGAACAGTTCTAAATTAACACTGATATTCACTCACATTTTAAGACTTTAATTTTTTCATAAATTGTTAATTTAAAATAGATGATGTAAAATCATGAATTGATTATTTTACAACATAAATTTTACCTGAGAATAAATTTTTTTTAAAGTACTTTTGACATTGTATTTTTGGACAGATAGAGTCAAGTTGGCCCCACTATGAATTGTTGTCATTTAATAGAGCGAATATTTGGATATTAATTATACCAAATATTACAAGATATGCTGTAATAATTAGTGTAGTAATACGCGGTAGTGGAGTTCAAATCCATCCAAGTCTATGGAAGTATATATCATATATAATATAATACTACATAAACCACACAGATAATATAAAATTGCATAAAATATTGCAAGAA